AATAGTTTTGACATGAAGAAAGTCTGGGGTAATCAAGAATGGATTTTTGTGTGAATGAATTGTCTGTTTCATTTAGTTCTGGGGGGGATAAAATCAGCATGCTTGTCTTTCTTTCTTTTTTGTTTCATTATATTTCTTTTGCCTCAGAGTTCTGGTTGATAAATCTTGGTGGGGTTTGGTTTTTTAAAAAAGATTTTGCTTTAAATTAAATTTTAAGAAAGAATTTGTATACGTTCTCTGGGAAATAACTAGTCAGTAGCAGTGAAGACATTATTTACACCAAGGCTAGAAGTTAAGACATTGAACACAATAGCAGTATTTCAGAATGAACATTTGGGATTAAGAGGTGTAAATCCACAATCCAAAATATATGTAGCTTGAACCACAGCTCATTAAAATCAGTGGAATTTATTTCTAAGTCAACATGGTAGGAATTGGGCTATTTATTGGGTTAAACTGAAATACTCTGGCTCTTGGTTTAAACTGCACTCATTTCTGTTTAATAACTAATGCCTAGAGAATTAAATTATTAAGTACTGAAAATTGCATTTTGAATTTCAGGTTGGTTCAGGTATGTGTAGAGTTTCATACAATGGGGATGATGAACTTATTGCTCACTCAATGAAGGTTAACAGTGATGTACTATGCTTAAAAATATGATTGCTTGAAATTTGCTTCTACTATAAAAAGAAGCTATAAACTAGTAGTCATGTATGTATGTATGTATGTATGTATGTATGTATGTATGTATGTATGTATGTATAAGTGTGTGGGGGGCGGGGGTGGTAGTTAGTATTAATATTAGAGCCATGGTAGTGCAATGGTTAGAATGCAGTATTGTGGGCTAATTCTGCTGCCAATTGCCAGCAGTTCAGCAGTTTGATTCTCACCTGTTCAAGATTGACTCAGTCTTCCATCCTTCTGAGGCTGGTAAAATGAGGACCCAGATTGTTGGGAGCAATATGCTGACTCTGTAAACTGCTTAGAGAGGGCTATAAAGCACCCTGAAGCAGTATATAAGTCTAAGTGCTAATGCTATTTCTATTGGCCACGCCCAAATTTAAACACTTAAATAAATTAATTTACTCTACATCTTTTATACATCTTCTTTCTTACTATATGGCAGAAATTGAAGTCTTGGTATATAGACATCCAGTAAAATATAAAGAAGGGCTTGCTGAACTATATTGGATAATGGGTATCTGCAAAGTCCAGTTAATGAGCTTATGCTCCAAAGAGAAAGATAGTTCCTAAGTAACCTACATAGAATGTGCAATTGATTACTCCAGTGTTGAATGATTGCATGGCAGAAACACAAATACTATCCCAAACTGCTGACTGGTTGAATGCGTGGAATGTTATTGCAAATTTGTTATGAAGATTGAAAACTACCTGTTCATGCCTTGCCTGCTCCACTAATTTTCTCACTACTGAAAACCATTTCCACTTAAGCAGGTATTCAGAAATAAGAAGAAAAAACGGCATCCATTTATGTGATATTTCAAGCTAAAGAGATCACCAAGCTCTCTTAACATTTTCTATATATCCTTAATTATTTATATAGATGTCCATCACTACAAATGCCAGGTCTACATTTTTCTTTTGCAAAAATCAGTTGTGAATACATTTTGAACTAGATGTCAAAAAAAAAAAAACCTGCAGGAAAAATACAGTAACTTACCACATCGGGATAATGGATATAATATAACATTGCATTCATTTTAATTGGAAGGAAAATGTAGAGGGGTTTTTTTTTTTTTGAAAGTATAAAATTTTTTGAGCCCAGCCTGGAAATTGGAATCTAATTATTCAGTGAAGATGGTGCTTGAATAGGCCAGAACGTGAGCAACTTAAGCCTCTATATCTAGGAAAATGACTAAATTTGTGAAGTGGAAATAGTGTTAGGATTTTGAGTTATCTATTGTCATTTCAGAACAAGTGATAGGGACCAGGGAAGTGGAGCCTACTGGAAAATATACATCATTACAGGAAGTGAAAGTACCTCAAAGTATGTCAAATCAACAGGGATCATAAGAAAAAGACCCCAGTCTTCTCATCGCATGATACCTAATAATATATTATTACACTTGATGCACACTTTGTAGTTGAAGAGAAATTGGTCTGGCAGCAACAGAGTAGGACTACCAAATCTGGCTTGCTAAAATCCAGATGACCACTAGATGGGAGGAAAGAGAAAAAGAACACACTGACTCACCGGTTTCTGTAGCCCAATTCTTGTAGTTTTAAAAATGTTTAGAGGTTCATTTCAGTGTACACCATGTGGCCTTTCAATAGAAACTGAGAAAATAGAGTAGTCAAAATGCAATTCTTTTCACCCCAGTTTTTTTGCATATAAATGTGGTTTGTAGATTCAATAAAGGAGATTTGGAAGCAAGAGATCAGAGAATGAAAGGTCTTTCAATGGGATTGACTACAGTATAGCACAGACTACTTCCCAGTGAATTAAACTCCATTGTCCCTGCAGTTCATACAGTGATAAATGAATGTCTGCATGTCAAATATTTTCTCTTACACTAATTTCTGAATGTCATCTTTGGCGTTCTTCCCTATTTTCATCTTGTCATTTCTATTTCTTCTTGGTTGTCTTTTGGTTTCTCATTACAAGGTGTAAGTTGTAAGTCAGTCATGTGTTGAAGTATCTCAGTTGTACTTGGGATTGCTGAAGCAACCATATCCAGTTACTATCCTCAGCAGTATTTTTTAAGGAAATGAGATACATCCTTATGACAGAGCCCTGAATCATTTTATACAATGCCTTGAAATCTCTGTGAGAGTTTTATTTGTCTGTAATATAATATCCTTGTTTCTACTTTTAAAATATCTACTTCCCAACTGCCTTGCTAAATTCTTTAACTAACCTTGAGATAATAGTACAAAGTGAAGTACAATAATATTTTAAATTTAAATGGTTTTGCTCTTTTAAACTCTACAAAGTCAATTTATTTTTAAACCGCTCGAAGTGTTGTAGAAGTAACCCTTAAAACAGTTCATACACCAAATGTATGCTGATCATTATTTAGTGATTCCAACATCTACTAGTGGACATGTTTTTGCAAAAGAGTGAATCAAGATTCAAGACACCCAAAAAAACATTCCCATTTCCTGATACCTTGTCAAGATACATGCCCTTTCAATGCAGTTTGCTTCCCATGTTAACCTATACAGAGATTGTGTAGTTATTTAAGTGACATAATTCTATTTATATGAGACTACACAAAGAGAAGTAAATAATCTGCTTGCAAATAGTAGCTACTAACTAGTGAATTCAGAACAGTCACTACATAACTTTTAAGAAATTGTCAAATATGAGACTGACTACTTCAACTCTTCCTTTTGGTAATTCTCAGATGAGCACAACAAATACATTTCTGAGTCATCTAGGTTGATTTAATCCAGCATTTTATTACTCTATTTTATTACTTTATTACCAGCATTTTATATATTTCTATTGTATCGCTTCTTATTGTTAATAGAGCCACAACCATTCTCTTTGCTTATAGCTGAGTCTTTTCACAGCTGTGTAGGACTTTTCATTTTCTCTGTGGTCGAAGTGCGATGATCAGAATTGTGCACAGTATTTGAAGTACATCATCATCATCATCATCATCATCATCATCATCATCATCATCATCATCATCATCATCTAAAAGGCATTACAGTACTGGAAATTTAATCTTATTAATCTTTTCCTACTGATCTCAGCTTGCGTTTAGCTTTTTCAAGACAGTTCTATATTGTACTAATATTTTTACTGAGCTGTTCACCTATCCTCTGTGATTGCTTTCTTAGTCGGTAAATGTCACCTCAATCTCCATCAGTATATATGAGCTATATGAGCTAAGTTAGACTATTTTTTCACTTTATTCTTGCATATTATAGGAGATACAACATCATTTTATGCTAATCCACCAAACTTTTCTGAATTTTTTTGCTGTCTTTTGAACATTTTATATAATTGGGGGCTGACTCAAATCGCTTGTAAGCAAATTTAAAATAACTAAATTCACAACAATGTAATATTTATTTCTACTTTTTTTGTTCGCAAAAGCAAAAGTGATAACCTTTTGAATCTGAGATCTGTATGAGCCAGCACCATGATTGGAACAGGATATTAATGAAGTATATTATTAGAATAAATTACAAGAATTAATAAATAATTTGCAGTTACTCAATAGGATTCTTTCTGTAATCATACAAATATGAATCTGAATCAAAGAATGTAAAATCTTATGCATATATTCCTGAGAATAAGGAATTGAAAGCAATAAAATGTATCTGTGATTAAACATATATAGGATTCTTGAAAAAATAATAGAATTTTGTGTATGGTAGTAGTAGTAGCCTATACAAGCTTGATTATTTAAAAAAATGTTGTGGTGTTCCTCCACAATAAAATCAAACATTATCATCTGTAGCTTTCCAATAACTATCTTTTGCTTTAAACAAATAGATATTTTAATAGTTTTTTTTTTTTTTACAAACATGGTTTTCTCTCCTCTTTTTCCCCATAGATTTATCAAAATGTAAATATCTGGATTGTTTCTTCCTTGAATCTAAATCCATGTGTACTCACAATTTTATAAATATAGCCACGTCTTATGACCTACAAATTATTATATTTACTGGAAGAACTATCAATAAGCATTTATTGATTAACCTTGGGGTATAGTCTGCATACTATTATTTATTTAGCAATGTTAAAATAATTTTAGAGTTTTAAAAAGTATTATATACCAAATATGAAAGAGCAAATGGGAACACTTTGTTGTAATATAAATAGAAGATCAAAGTGGAGTTCTACTTCATACCTGCTGAAAAGCAGAAGCAGCTCTGCTTAATAGATTTCTGTCTTTTTTATGACTTTTGTTACTTCTACTGTTTATTAAAACATAACTTTGTATAAATGAGATAGAAAATGGTTTCTTTGGTTGAGTGAATACCTTTTGTTGAGACTGACTATGCTTTGATTCTTTCTGCAGTGGCTAAAAAATCCTGGCCCCCAACATGAGAAACGGACTTTGTTTGGGGACATGGTGTGCTTCTTGTTTATAACGCCATTGGCTACTATCTCCGGCTGGTTATGTCTGCGGGGAGCAGTGGATCATCTGCACTTTAGTAGTAGGCTAGAAGCTGTTGGGCTCATTGCACTCACTGTCGCACTCTTCACAATTTACCTCTTTTGGACACTAGTAAGTAGTCTTTTGATTTGACTTCTATTTAAAGTATGATAAATTTTATAATGTTATTCTCGGAACATCTGGTGACAATTATTGAATGAGAAAAGATCAAACTTCGTTATTGTGGTGGCCTAGAGGTGGAGCTCTTGCCTCACAATCAGGAGGCTGTGAGTAGTATCCTAGATAGCAGCAGTTATTTCTCTCTCTGGTGACAATGAGTAATTGTCTACTGTGAACTCCACGTAGGTGTCAGGAAGCACATCTGGTCAGTAAATGCTCAGCTCCAATCAGTTGCCCTGACCTCACTCTGAAGCAGGGTCATTAAAAGAAGATAGATAGATAGATAGATAGATAGATAGATAGATAGATAGATAGATAGATAGATAGATAGATAGATATAAATAAATAAATCAATAGTGCACACACAAAATTTGGTTCTTTTAGGTTGGATCTAGAATGGTTTGCATTCCCGTAGTTTCTCTTAGAATGTTCTTGGCTGATGGAAATGGCAGAATTATTTTGTAACATTCTCTCCCTCCATCTACCTTTCCACTGTTCCACAACATAATCTTAGAAATGATAAAGACTTCAGAATGAGGATATATTTAACAAAGAGTATCTCTTCCCTTTCTACCACAGAAATGGTCTGTGGGTATTAGATGTGTTGTTTAGATTAAAAGGTCTTCCATCGGTAGACAGATGGCCTTGGATCCAAGCCAGTATTTGGAATGGCATAATATGAAGAGACTTTAGCCAAACTGCAATGAGTAGATTGGGGGGGGGGAGAACCCTGGTGAAATAAATCAGTGCTGGGAAAATATGTGCAGACATCATCAACCTCATATCTATGCAGCAAGTAAAAAAAATAAAAAGATTCCCTTTCCCTTTTGGCACTAATAATGGGCAGATTGAAGCTAAAGCTCTGAAATCTTACCCAGCATGCTTTTTTTCCCTCTTAAGTTGTTTGGGTTTGGGCCACATTAGAGAGAGATTCATTTTATACAAGCCTGCTTCTCTCTCTAATGTGATTTGTGTGAGACACCTGCATTTACCTCCAGACAGAAACTTGAGACATTGTTCATCTTTCCTAAATAAGCTTTTGTGGACATTGTTCAGGACTAACAAACTATAGTGCTCTGAACAAGCTATAGTGGGAAAGATCTGAACTGTCTTTTTCCTTTGGTATTGGTAATAAGAAGCATTTTTCAAGGCTCAGTAGATTTCAGAATAACACGTCTGGAGCTTCTAGTTAAACCTGAGTGAGAAAGCTATGTTTGACACCATCAAACAGTTTCTACCGTGTAACCTTGTACACTAATACATTTTGAAACACAAGCCGTCTTTCTTCCTCCAGACATCCAGATGTCTCAAATATGGAGGAAGAATTGAGAATGTGATCCTTTTAGAATGGTTAAATTACTTAAAATGGGCTGATTGATTTTCACTGCTAAAGAAGTAGGAAGAGAATGCAGTCAATCTTCAGCTGAAAAACATCTGCAGGAAAGAAGCGGTGGTTCCTTGTAGCAGAGATGCATCACCTCCACAGATACTTTCATAAAGAAAATAAAACCACTTCTTTATTTATGTCCTCTATCATGAAATTCCATTACAGGATAGACGTTTTTAGTCAACATCGCTTTCAAGTTGAGTACTCATACAGGGAAGATTAAAAAAGAAAAACAACTGCATCTAGAGCCATGACTCCCACTCATGCCAAAAGACTTTCCTTCCCTCTCAAGTATGCTGCACTCTCCTCCCCAGATATCTCTGCTGTGGTCCAGCAGCTATGAAGAACAGATTCCAGTGTACAGCTTCATGGGAGAAGGTATCCTTCAGCCTTTGCCCAAAGCCCCGCACCAGAAGGATAAAGTTTGAATTCCTCCCCTCCAGTGGTGGGTTTCAAAAATTGTTCGAACCTACTCTGCCTCCTTTGTGGGAGTGGCTTGCTGCCCATGTGACTGGATGGGAGTGGCTTGCTGCCCATGTGACCAGATATGAAGATGTCGACGACACTTGTCAGAACCACCTTAAATTACCTCACACACAGCACTGGCATGCATAAGAATATGTTGTAAACTTGTTTTTTAAAAGGCATCTTTGGTTTGCGTTAAAACAACTTCAACACACACAATGCTCTGATTGCACCACAAACGCAGTAATCATCCTTACCTTTCACAGAGGCACTGAGTTTTATAAATATGAGCATGATTGTGTAGAATAATCATATCCAAGGACCAGTGGTGGGCTTCAAAATTTTTTGGAACCTCTTCTGTAGGTGTGGCCTGCTTTCCGGGTCCACTGGTGGAACCTCTTCTAACCGTTTCGGTAGATTTGACAAACCGGTTCTACCGAATAGGTGCAAACTGGTAGGAATCCACCTCTGTCCCCCTCCCTCCGACCCACACATACCTTTTCCAGCTGCTTCAAAGAGGGCTTAAACTATGCTCTTGCCTCAGGTCCTCTGAAGAAGACCTGCCCAAATGAGCGTCCTCTACTATGAGGCAGGAGAACTGCGTGCCTCACCTACATCAGGAATTTTTAGGCTTTTAACCCTTGCTTAATTCTGCTCGAGTGATCATAAAATGCCTAAAAAGACTAGATGAGGCACGCAGTTCTCCTGCCTCATAGTAGAGGGCGCTTTTTAGAGGCTTTTTTAAACAGTTAAGCAGAGTCATCCACGATGAGGCAGCAACTAGCTCAGCCTGACCTAAGCTCTTCCCTTTTACATTTTTTCTTTTCATGATGACAGAGGTGAGGCTGTGCCTCCCCTGCCTCACCTGACTGCACGTCACTGCTCAGACCTGAATTCCACTACCGGTTCAGCCGAAACGAATCGAAACGAGAGCAACCCACCTCTGTATAAATTAAAGCATTTCATATTAGATGGGCCACATTTGTTTTACTCAGCATATGCCTATGCATATACGGTATCCAGGCATGCACATCATACACACTATAATCCAGCAAGAAAGATCATGCACCTTGGTGTTATTGCAACACACGTAATATGCCTTTCAGGGCCTGCAGTTGGAAACTGCAACCGATAGAGAATGCAGCAGTCAGGCTCTTAACAAGAGAATCTTGTTATTGCAGAATCTCTCCTATTCTGTGATCACTGCACCGGTTGCTATTAGTCTGAGCATAATGCTAATTATCACCCATAAATCCTTCTGCAGTCTAAAGATCTAGAGAGGTTGTGCCCAAGGAATACAGATCAGAAGGCAACTCTTCTCAGTAATGGTGCCACATTATTTATGTATTTGTTTATTAAATTTATATCTTGCCAACTTCAGGCAGACAAATGAAATTAAAACATCCCTAAATATATTACAAGTAAAACATGCAGGGTAAAAGGCATTATGACAATAGTGTTAAGATGTTCACAAAGAAAAGAAATACTACTATTAAGTCAGTACTCGTATAAGAAAAGCTCAAGTTTGTTGTGAAAGATCACTAAGATGATTAAATTCAGCCAACAAAAACTCTTGGGGGGTGGGGAGCGGAAATTCAGTCTTTAAGACTTCTGGAAAGCCATCACAGTAGGAACAAATATAACATTGTCAGGGATGCTGTTCTATAAGTCCCGGAATGGAAACACAGAGTCTCTGAGGTTTTTCCGATCTATGATGAACATACAGGATGGCTCAGTTTAGTTGAGAAATGTGTGCCTTGTCCCTTCTCTTCTGACATTTTGAAGGGCACTAGAAACCATTTTCTTTGGCCCCTCAGGAGAAATTATGGCAGTCATCTAGAGGTTTTTTTTTTATTAAAAAAAAGCCTTTGAGGAGCATTATTAATTATCTACTACGGTATATACCCAAATACGTTTAGATTCAAGTTGGTAAAGAAACAAATGTCTATTTAAATCAATTGATTTGTACTAGTGGAAACTGCTCAAGCTAATTTTTGAATAGTTTTTGACTGGAAACTTTAGTTTCAATAAAATTAATGTAGGTTATTTTCGTATATGCATGGTCAGTCTTCCAGAAAAAAATGGCAGAAAAAAATATACTGTCTAAAATAATAAGCAGCCTATATGAATATCTTTCTCATTATTTATATTATCCAGTACTGTTGTTCTCCTGATGTGCTGCTACAGATAACAAATGTACATTATAAATACCAACTTAGATAAACAATATATGATACACTGAAAAGAAGAGATTTTAAAAGTTATATATCCCAAAATTATATTTCATATTATGAAGGATGTAGGGAAATATATTTTCTGGAAAGTATGCCGTGACCATATTTTATTGCCTCTTAATTGCTACCCAAATAAATATGCATGTTAAATTACACTTGGAGAGCTGAATGCAACATCCCATGGGTGTCCTTTTAATCCAGCTTTGAGAATTTCCTCTTGCTGTCCTCTTCCTTTCTCAAATCTCCTTAAGAAAATTGAGAGGTTTGGGAGACACCAATGGTGGTTTATTTAATGATAGGGATCTTGATTTGCAAACTTCAGTACTGTGTATAACTTAAATTATCTCTGATCATTAAAAGTGCCTTTCATCCAAGAGTATTGTTTTACACATACATGGAGAGGTGATAAGCCTAAACCAAACATGGCCTCCCATCATTGTATTGAATATACAGTTTCAGGGGCATGGTAGGTGTATGCTTTATATTGCTTGCCAGATGGGAGAACCTTTCTTATCCTCTTATGACTTCAGTAGGAATGGACTATATTAATGAGGAAATGTGCTCTCAAAGAAGAGATTCAGTTTCAATGTCTAACAACATGGCTTCAGTGTAATAGTAGATGATAGAGAGAGGAGAGAGATTAAATCCCAATCCATTTTCTATTCAGCCAATTGCCTCCTAACAGTTTTGCAATATGCTTGAATTATACTTCATTACCTCATGCTAGGACCCCAAATCGTGATTTTTTTTTGTTAGCACAATAGCATATGACTGTACAAAATTGCACATAACACTGAAATGGTATAGTAGTCCTTACATTGTGTCCTGTTAACTTTTTTCAGGCAAACAAAGAGCACTGAACTGTTCATGCTATTTGAACCCATTTGCTTTCATTTAATGAAGTCATTTTATTGTTCCCCATTTTCAATCCACTAATAACAATCGTAGGATAGGAAGTTGGGCACAATTCAGATAAATATTCAGTTTCATGTACTTGAATGAAAAAGTTCAAACTCATCTTGTCAAAATAATTATATAAAAGAATTGGATTTTAAGTTCTAGTTTGATATTGATTCAAGCTGCTGGTTTTCAAATATTATTCTAATAGTTGTAGTTTCTTAGAAGCCTTATTTATGTTTATGTAACCACAAGTAAAGGGTTTAAAATGTATCCAATATGCAACCTGCATCAGGTTAACAGAACCTGATACACCTCATAGTACATAATGCTTGACCAAATCTACTCACCTAATTAAACTATATTTACAATCTTTGCTTATGGCGTAATTTGGCTTTGAGACTTCACCAGATAGTCCAGAACTCCAGAGGTGTTGAGTGTTGTGATGTACAGGGCTGTGGTATTACATGTTGTTGATTGATACATTGTCTTTCATAAGATATACCTCAGGGCAATTATTATCGTTTTTTCCCCACATTGGCCTTCATATTAAGCCATGTATAAACCAAACTCTGCCATCTGGGTGAATAACACTGCTGTATCTCAATAATGTAAGAGTTTAGTGAGCAATTATTTTGAGAACAGAGATCCATACATTTCAAAGGAGCTATTTTCTGTCCTTCCTAAATAAGACCCTGTCTCTCTCAAAGACTGTGATTAGTCCTTTAAATGAATCTAGGCATTGTTTTCATGATCAATGAACAAATCTCATCTCTGTTCTGGACAGGAAGTGTCTTGGATCCAAGTTTCTGATTTTTTTTTTAAAAATGATGAAGAGCAGATCTTACTTTCACATTGAGTTTGAGTTTTATAACTTATAAATGTACACAAATGTTTAGTCAAAATGTTTTTTGAGAAACCACAGAGATTTAGAAATGGTTGTGGGATTTACACAATTTTGCTATCCACTAACAACGTTGCAAACTGTTAACAGAAGACTTTCCTTACAAAATGCAAAGTTGAGCTTCTAGGTTTCAGTAGCCAACATAGCTTAGGCATTGGCTGAAAGCAAGAACTAATTGTAAACAGCCTACTAGGCTTAACTAGGTTATTTATTGATGTGTTTGCCATATATAAGAATTGCCCATCTCTCCCTTACAAAAAGACTCTGAGCAGTGGGCAATAAAATATCAAAAGCATAAAAAACAGTATGCAAAATTTAAAAGAGGCAAAGAATGTTAAAAATTGATTAAAGGGTGTAGGGAAGGCTTTCAGAGCACCAACTAGCCTGACAGTTGTGTGCTCATCTAGGCGCCCCAAGGAAGGCCACAGAACCATGTTTTCAGGCACTTCTGGAAAGCCAGGAGACTGTGGCCCTGCCTCACCTCCAGACTGAGTGTTCCACAGGGCAGGGGCAATGACAGAGAAAGGTCTCTTCCTGGACCCCACCAGTCAGAATTCTTTGGCTGACAAAATCCACAATTTATCTTCCCTGCCCGACTAGGTGAGATGGGCTTGAAGTAATGGGACGATGTTATCCTGTGAAAAATTCCTTAAATATTCATTGAGAACCAGGCTTACAATGCTAAAAATTGCTAAAAAGGACCTATCCTTTCTATAATCGCTAGGAAAGAATCTTAGTAACCCAAGGAGAAGCCCATAAATGTAGATAGCCTGTGATGATATTGTGCCACTAGTGGTCATGAGTAATGAACATAAAACACAGGAAATGGCATTGTGGAATCTGCCTACTATTCCTTTGTCACCACTATTGCACATCCATTCAGGGTGAAGAATTTGAAAATCCAGTGGCCGTTGTAAAAATGTTATCACAAGTGCTTGAAAAAACTCTGATTAATTAAATCTCATTACAAATGGGTTATTAGATATATCATTTCCTAACTATATTGTCACTATTATCCCGATACATTGATCTGTCTGAAATAAAATTTGGCTATTTCCAAAGAAAGATGTTGCCAAACATTACTGCATAATTCAAACACCAATCTGAAGAATGTTGCTTTATGCTTTGTTGCATAACAAAGTGATATATTTTTAAAAGGGATGGTACTCCAAACTATCAGCATTTTCTCTTTTATTAAAACTTAAGTTCAGAGAAACGTTTTTAAATCCACTGAAATCATTTACAAAGTAATTCCAAATGGACTTAATACCAGGTATTTTTTAGCTCCATTGGTTGCTATAGAAAAAGAAAATTAGATTTAAGTATTACAGAAGCAGATTGAAAAACTGGATTTTTGAATCCTTTCAAGACTTCCTTGAAGTGCATATTGAGTTGAGAAGAACTGGAGTTAAAAGAGAATCATTCAGGTTGAGGCACAATAATGCGAGTAATATTAAAAGGCCCTTGACTTTTCTTCTGAGTGTGTTTTTCTGGTTATCTTAACCATAAATTCTTCTCTTTATTTTTCTGCAGGTATCCTTTAGGTATCACTGTAGATTATACAATGAATGGCGTCGGACCAATCAAAGAGTTATCCTTCTCATCCCAAAGTCTGTCAGCATCCCTTCTACCCAGCAATCCTTGCTGGGCCTGCATTCAGTCAAAAGGAACTCAAAAGAGACCATTGTCTAATTGTGAAAATCTTTTCCAGAGGCCATGAACTACATATGGTAGCATCGTAGTTGGAAAGACACTTTTTGTAAAAGAAAAGACACGACTGTTGCAATTTAAATCATGGATGCTGCAATCATATGATATTTGCTAAGCTGCCAAACATGTCTAAAATTTAGCAGATACTGTATGGAATTTTCCAACACATGTTGATAGCTGCATCACTAGGGATGCAACTCTTTTCTAATTGTGATTAAAAACTATGATGGCAAACACTGCAAAATATGTGAATTGTATTATTTCTGAAACAGGTCCAGTCATCTTCTATGCTGTATTCTCTCTTCCTATATCTAGATTAATTGAGGAGAATTGGAGGCTGCTTTAAGATGACATGAAGAGTATGTGAGAGAGAGCACATGCATACAAAACCTATTCGTCACATAGCCACTCTAGGTCTAGAGACAGCTAAAAGAAAAATTCTCAGTGGAAGGCTAATGAAAAGTTTTATAGCTTAATGTCTTGAGAGAGAAAAAAAATGAAGGCTTTGTAATTACCTATTAAGCACAATCCCAAAATAAATGGACCTCTGATATTTATGTAGTATATTTCCTCATTCTCGGCTATATACCTTCTGTATTGGAACTGCTACTCTCAGAGTTAACATTCTGCATTTATAACATCAGGAATGAATCAAGTTGGCTTCTATTTTCATTACAACAGTAACCTTTGCAATGAGGAGAAGTAGGGAGGAGAGTTCCCAAAGCTTCTGGTAAACTGCAGAGGGTAGATGAACACGATCTGCCAAAATTCCCAAAGCCCTTTGATATGATTTTTTTTTTATCTTCAGAATTTCCACCTTTGAGGGACCAGTTTCATAGCAATCTGTATTGGTGAAGACTTGCAGTTCATGACTATAGACTAGAGCTGCTGTATCCCTGCTGCAAAACACAGATGTCTGAAAAAAAAACCACCCCATCATTTCAGAAAGCAATTTTCTCAAGCGGAGAGGAAACAGTGTATTGTGGAGAAATGATTGATTGAAATTGCAAGGAATTAAGTTGCGTCACAACAATGTTCTCTAAATTTAATTCCTAAATTTATTTTGTAAGGGGGACTTTTGCACAGATAATAAAGACTGGCTCATTAGACATGTTCTAAGAAGCTTGGACCTGCCTTGCATTACAATGAGTAAAACTACAGCTTTGCTGGATTTGCAACTTGACAGATAAGTTTAGATGGAAACATCTAAGCCTTAACTTCTTTGTGCTTACCAGACTAAGACCTCTTTGTTAAAAATGTTTACAACCGCCTTATAATTGTAGCCAATTCCAATTTGGAATCTGAATGTTAAATTCTTCATTTCTTGGGTGGCATATCTTGGCATGACTGCCTTTTCCAAAGCATGACAGACAAAGGCATCATTTCGATCCATTATTTTTAGAATTAGGCTATCAAATGGACTTTTCTTACATCAACAAATGTTCCTAGCACGTAAAATATTTATTAATTAAAATACACTGCTGAATCATATTTAAGTAGAGGAAAACTCAACATTTGTCTCATTTCCTATGTTATGGGGTCGGGGAAATGAAGAGGATGTGTATTAAAGCAATTGCAAAGACTTTAAATGGATTAAACAACTGTTCTTTGTTAACTAGTAGAATTGAGTCCCACCTTATGCAGATTCCAGTCTACATCTTCTTCTGGATATGATCGCAGCCATCACACAACACACTGGTGCAATCTACCAAAGTGCATTGAAAACTATGAAAAACTCCACACACCCCTCATAAGCACACCCACACACCCAAGGCCCATACGCCTAACTTTTATGCTTTTAAGTTTACATGGGGAGATGTTTTTTTGCAGGGCTCAGTGATGGGTAAAGATCTTTCTGTCGTTGGTAATGACCAAAAACCAGCCTCTGCATTCATCTGTTCAGTTGCATCTGATTCTTTAGAGACCATATAGTTTAGTAAAATTAAATGAGCAAAAAGAAGTGGCTCTGCTTAAAAGAGCTACTTCACAATAGCAATAGCAATAGCAGTTAGACTTATATACCGCTTCATAGGGCTTTCAGCCCTCTCTAAGCGGTTTACAAAGTCAGCATATTGCCCCCCCCCCCAGTCTGGGTCCTCATTTCACCCACCTCGGAAGGATGGAAGGCTGAGTCAACCTTGAGCCGGTGAGATTTGATCTGCTGAACTGCAGCTAGCAGTCAGCTGAAGTGGCCTGCAGTACTGCACTCTAACCACTGCGCCACCTCGGCTCTTATAGGTTCTTTGGAACCTATATCTGTCTACCCTTGCCTTCCAGAATAAATTTTAGATTTTAAAATAATTTAAAAAGCCTATCTATATGTCATGAGAATATATTGTTTTAGAAGTTGGAACTAGAAAAAAAATAGGAACCATTTTTACGATTTTCGTAAAAACTGTGGTTGGGAAGGGTTAAACTTGCTATT